CATTTTCTTATTATTTTATGAAACAAATCGATCGCTTTAAAAGACTTTATGAAGAAGAAATTGCCAAACTTCATGAAGACCCGGAAAATCTGGATGCCGATGGAACATTGCTTAGTGATGTTATCGAGGATTATAATAAGGGATTCGCGAATAATATTTTTAATTCGGTCAAACATCTCAAATCATCACCATTAGAATGGAATAGGGAATTATACTTTGAAGATTTTATCTCAGTAATTTGTTCAAATGAACCGGGTTATAAGAAGACAAAGAAAACTCAAATCATGTCGCTTATTTTCAAATGGCTACTTGGGCTCGAAAAAGTTTTGAATCCAATACTCTTACACATTTTCTGGTGGAATAATTCGAGCAATATTCTTGTGAAGTTTCAATTAGCACAAATGTGTTCAAATGTTAGTAAAATGATTGAACCGGGGGATCACCATTTTGAAAATTTTCTTGTATATGAAATAGCTGAACAAAAGTTATATGAACTTGAATCGATAGAAATTAATCAACTACCAGAATGGCAGCATGAGGCAACCAAAATTATATCACTTTGTACAAAACTCACAAAAGCTTCTGATTTAGAGTCTTTTCATCTCTTGCAAATATGTAGTGATTTAATATGCACTGATCTAATTTCATTAGAAGCCATTAAAGAAATTGTGAAAGTGGCATATTCAGGGGAAGCGCAACAAATTTTCACTAGTAAATTTGTCAAAACAGGTTTCCAAATCCTAGATGGAGTTAAAGATTATGTTCCAAGGAAATTATTTATGATTAAATGTCTTGATATTCTCCCAAAAACTTCGAATATACGTTTAGACCTTTACAACAAATTGTTCTCAAAAGACCCTTTTCCACTTATGTCAATAATAATTCATAAAATCTTTCAACAAGAAGATGAGAAAAATAAAGATATATTCTTCCAATTACTTAAAATGCCTAAAACTGTTCGGACACTCTCTCCAAGGTTGAATGTTATTAATAATTGCTTATCAAATAGTGGACTTGGATCTTTAATGGCAACTTTATGTTGCGATGTTTTGCAAAAATCAATTTTCTCAAATTGTACTTTAGAATTTTCAACAGAATATTTCCAAGATGCTATTGGAGCATTATTACGATCAGGACCAGGATCAGAATTAGCAACGTTACATAAAATTGCCTCGATAGCATTTCTTAAGGAATTTGTTCGTCGATTCTGGGAATACACTAATAGCGACAATAGCATTTCGGACCCTATAGAAATTAATAATTCGCAATTGGGAGATATTGATATATCCGAGTTAACCAATCGACTTAATTACGATATGGAAGTAAATAAGCAAGTTCCACTGATCCATTCTCTTAGAATATATTTTTTGCGTGCTTTGCGGCGATGTTGTGAATTCTCCTTGGATGATGTAAAACGATTTTGTAAATCTCAGGAATACACATTACCTTGGTTAGCAAATTTATCATGGGAAGATAATAATCAAGCAAATAGGTTCCCTTTTAATCCATATAGATTGATAGAAGATTATAATAATTTAGAGACTACATTTGCATCTCTTCACAACTTTAACAATAAAGGGCCGTTTGAAAAGAACTTCATTGCAAAGTTTAAAAAGAAGAATTCAAATCTATCACATTTAGCATTAATGGGATTAATATTTAGCAGATTGCACGCAATCAGAGCTTCACGCGGATGGTCAGAAAATGAAACTTCAACAGCATTAACTTTACAAGAAAGTGTTGAAAGTGTTGACCATCTTTCAACAATCTATAAAACCACCATCAGAAATCTCATCTCTAATGAACATATACTTTTGAGATTGACTGAAGATATTAATAATCAAGATTTATTGATTAAATCTGTTATTGGACATATAATTGCATTAAATGCGTCTATTCGTCATGATTCGTCACCTCTTGCTAATTTATTACAGAACTTACATTATTGTACTGGATTGTTTATTCCAGCCACGCCTTCAGACGAACAATCCATTATTTTGAGTGCAGTTCTTCGAGGGGGTCAGATAACTAGGTATATTATTGTATATTATTGCATACTATGGTCTTTTATCAAATATTTAAATTTAGGCTTATTTAATTAATAATTAATAATTAAATTTTTTAGATATTCATGCAGATGTGGATACATGTATGTTATTGGAGATTGCGGTATTTATATGTTTATGATACTTTCTTATTTTTTTGTTCTAAAACTAATTACAGAGCTAATCATTATTATACATTTGAAAAGGTTTTACAAACGGAACGGGAACATGTCCTGAATGTGGAAGGCAAATAGGTAAATTCATTGTTCTTTATTAATATATCTACAAACTTTTGGCTTTTTTCAGATACAAATTTTATGATTCTTAATTTAGGTGGTTTAAACCATGTTGCGGCAGAAGGTCAAACAAAAATGGATAATAATCCGCTTAGAATTCCATTAAATGCTAAACACCAGACTGGTTATATCGGAGAACCAATAAACCAAGAACCAGCACAATCAGTTAGAATGATGTCCCCGACTTCGTATCGTATCTTACATTTATTCGTTCATGTGATTATCGGAGCTTGGGCACATGCACCACTGGCATTAAATTTCTTGCAAAAAAATAATAAGATAGCCGCTGATGCTGGAAAGTATTGCATGGACCATATAAAGAATGATTGGATGGTTCTAAGGAGGATACTTAATACTTCAGATGAGAATTTAGCGTTGGTTTTACATTCAATTTTGGATTCGATGGTTCAAAAACCATGTAAAATGGTTTCATTAAAGACCTCAGCCGAACGAGATGAATGGGAAACAGAATTTAAAGATAAATTTGTTGCCCCTCAAGTTAGAAATATCACTGGAACGGCAGTCAACTTCCAAAATAAGCTTGCTGAAGCCGATAAGTCTCAAGATAACGTCAATATTATCGAAGCAGAAATAAATCAAACATTAGCAATGGACAATAATTATCAACTTGAACATTTGCCAAAAATGTGGAGATTCATATCTGATATTAGTTATCAAAGTCTTCATGCTCATTATTTGAGTGATGAAGATAAGCATTCTAAAAAATATCCGTTTTTGGCTCAATTCTTTAAACATTCTGAAAAACTATCGTTGATAAAGCACCTTTTACCGATTGTAAGATTTGTGCAAATTTTATCTTCAAGGTTAGAATATCGATTAAGTAGGGATGAGGCTGAGGAACAAACTTTTGGTGAATTTATTGATAATGAAGAAGGAGAAATGGAATTTGAATATTCAGACAATAATATTTTGAGATCAACGTTTGAAGATTTTGCTGAATCTTGGAATGAAATTATTGATAAAGTTAAAAATTATCAATGTCATGAGATTCCAGATCCCAAACCAAGGATAAATCTGGATTCCCCTGTAGTCTTGGGATTGATCGAACCAATTAACTCAGGTGTATATCTTTGCGCAATTTTAGAATATCTTATTGGATTACAAAATGACTTTTTGGAAGATGTTATGGCAATTCCTTATGAATCCTGGACTTCATTAAAATTTTTGGATGAAGCTTCGCTTAACTTTAACGAAACAGTAACTTCAACTTCACAAACAGAAAAAACATTACACCATTATATTAGATCCATTCGTCTAGAAAATGCTAAACCAGATAATTTTATCAATTATGAATGGAATGACGATCTTCTTCAATATAGTCAACGGAATTTACAAATGGGACGTGGAGATGACGTTACATTTGATTTACAAAAAATTGAATTCGAACTTGCGCGTCAATTAGTTTTTGGTAAAGTTCATATTAATACAATTGACGAATCAAACTTATATCTAGAACAATTTAATTTCCATTTAGAATTATTTAAGGGTTACATGAGAATTCTGAGTGATATCAAAGTATTAATCCCGCAAAAGCCTATTTCGAATTACATGAAATCAAACGTTATTAATTTATCTACTACCTCTTCATCTACAAAAATATCCTCAACCATGGATAATTTAGAATCGATGTCATATGAAAGCGCATCAAAATTACTTTCATGTTTGGAAATTTTACTTTGCTTTGTAAAAAGAAAATTAATTAGTGATTCCGAAATTTTGATTAGTGAATTTGTAAAACAATGGGCAAAACTTTCTGTTTTGGTTGATAATGAATTGTTAATGAATATCTTAAAAGTTGATTTAAGGCTCAAAAATGTCGTAGCTTTATATGAGCTTATTGAAGAACAAGTTGCTAACAAAGTTATTACGTATGTCGATGACAAATATGCAGAACCATTAACATCGGATTTAGAGAAGGAAATTTCCAATGCACTTGATTTTGATATTACTAATGACGTTGATTCTGAAGAAACTGATTTAAAACCAATGGATGATGATAGCCTAATTGTTGAGGAAAATAAGAAAGTTAAGAAAATCCCAGCAGAAGCATTCGCTAGCACATTAAAAAGATTTATTTTCAGATATCTAATGAAAGAATCAATCAAAGAAGATCATCCAATGTCGGTTTATTTAACTGATGGTTCATTGAACTTGTGGCCAGCACACATTTCAGAAGAATTAGTCGAGGAATTTTTCCCAGACAGTTTGATTGCATGCCATTCTTTCGAAGCTTACCGATTTGTTTTTGAAAAAGTTGAGGTAATTTGATTGCTTATTAAAAATCGTATTTGAAGTTTTGTTTTGTTTCGTTATAATTACTAATGTATTTAAATTGTGAATATTATGTAGGGAATAAAACAAATATTGAACAATCAAAACCAAAATACTTCAAAACGTTTTCAAAGAAACAGAAATCCCAAGCATAAGGAACAAAATGTTTCTCATCAGAATGTGGATGGTCCTGACAATAGCTCATCATCTAATACATCATCTAATAGAGGATCTCATAGTTCTAGAGGTAGTAAAGGGTTTCATAAGGGACATAACAATGTTTCAAGAGGTCAGAATCAAGGAAATAGTAATGCTTCAGGAGGTCGACGTCATTCTGAAGATGCCGAATCTTCGACAAGAGGTCGACGTCATTCTGAAGATGCCGAATCTTCGACAAGAGGGCGTGGTAATCGAAGAAAACCAAAGATTCAAGATTTTAACAAACATGATGTGTTGTAAAAAATAGATGGATTAGTAGTTAGGCTAAGAAATTTACCTTATTTGTTAAATTATTTTTTTGTACTGTACAAGATTTTGAATTTTTTCGTACTGTATAAGATTTT